ATAGAGCGTTTAAGACTTTCGTTATTGCCTTGTAGGCACGTTTTGTTTGATAATTGTTAGAATTACATATGCGCACTACATAACATTTCTATTAATTCGAATTTTCGTTTTCTTTTTTCAAATTAAAGAAATTGAAATGATAAATATAGATGATAGATCTTCTAAATAAATAATGTTTAACTTTTTTTCTCAAAAAAAGAAAAATACAAGAGCAACGTAAGAAGAATATGACGCTTAAATTATACGTAGATAAATAAAAGTTTGATTTACATTTTTTTTTTTTCTTTTATTAATCAGAACACAAATTTAGCCAGTGAAGTTACGTGGTCGACTTTAAGAAGATTGTTTGCATACTTTTTATCAACGTACTCAATAGAGTATAGATACTTGTTATTAGTAAAAAATGTACTAATATACTGGAGAAAAATGACAATGAATAAAAAAATTCTGTTGTCTATGGATTATAACAGTAATTCGTCGTGTTACATCGGCTTTGCGTCTCGTGTAAAAGGGAAAATAGTTTCTTGTTTTGTAATACAAATCATGTGTATTATAACAGTCGGAATATTTAAATGCCAGTATCGCAACGTCCGTAATGAGTTACAATAAATGTTACGACAGTACATGGGAGCATAATGTTTTATTTTGATGCGTGTGTGATTGTGCCTTTGGTCCTTAGGTCAGATAGGCTCTAGGCAAGTCTATTAAACATAGAATAACAGTCATTATAGATAATAATTTATAAACTTCAGATGCATAATATATACGATTCCTTTCTGTGCCTTTTAAAACTGTGTTATACATTGAAAGCTAACGCTGCTTAAATATTAAGACGTGTTTCGAGTCGCAAAAGTTCAAACAACATATTTTTTTTTCTTTCTTCTTTCTATAATCTTCATGCCATTTGCCTTTTCTTTTCACTTCTCTTTTGTTTTCGTCGTTTCTTTTATAATAATTATAATATAATTTACACGATCGTACGAATGATAAATCGCCGATTAACATTCCCTCGGATCTTAATATTTACGCGTGTAACATTTGTCCAATGATTCCGCTATATAAATAAAATATTCATGTTATAATCTTGCAATTATTACAATCGTATAATAGTACATTTATATAAGTTACGCTAAGAAATTATCATATATACAATTAAAAATTGTTAGGAAATACTCTTTTTTTAAATAAGTTAAATTTACATTGTATTGCGATCCATAAAAACATTTATTTCTTGTTACTACTCAAATCGGGGGGAATTAGACGGCAATAAGATTCCTGTTTATTATCTCGCCAACATGTATTTTCAAAATTTCTCCCTTTGCCACGAATTTCCATTGATTCGAATAACAACAAGAAGCCATTTTTTTGTTTTCTTTCTTTTAGAATCTGTGTATGTGTGTATGTGTTATGTGTGCAGTTCATCGTCAAAAACATGACTCAACTGTTTTGCTGATTTATATGCATTGCGCGGATAGATATACAATCATCCTAAAGCTAAAACGAACTGCCAAGTGGCGGCGGCGAGTTATGCGAAGTCACCGTTAAAGATCTGCTTTTTTTCGATTCCGTCTCGCGTATCCTTTCCTTTCTTCAAAAATCGTTTTACAAATATATATCGCCGTAATGTTGGTCGAGCCTGTGTTTTTAGACGAATATTTTTTAACTTTATTTTATCATTGTTTCTTTATTTCCCTCTCTCTCTCTCTTTGTTTATACTTCGTTACATCATTTCATCTCGTTCCTTTTTTTCTCGTCCACATTTGTTCCTGTTTAAACGTTCGCTACTCCTCCTTCGTTAATTATTTTCTTCATCTTGTTTCTTTTCGCGCTGAACAACGCGAGAAAGGCGTTGTACATGGACGGGTTGGCTTAGTGAAGACTAGCGAAATTCAGCTAGTCGGACTAGCGTCGACATACGTTTATTTAATCGCAAGATTAAACGTAAATATATAAGGCAACTTAATGCAACCGAAAGGCAAGCAAATCCGAAGCGTAGGCCATGAGTGTGATAGTAAATTGTCGTGCATATCTTTTTCCTGTGACTTTTTTTTTTCTTTTCCACGAAGCACCACGAGAATAAGAATTACCACTCCGCGTTTCATATATAGATTTAGACGAGATCTATACGACGAGATACTCTTCCATGAGAGGATATCTATTCGTTTTTTTTTCTTTTTTTTTTTTTTTTTTTGGTTTTCTTTGATTTTGATTCTGTAGAGAACGGTCTTTGTTGTTTGACGCTCGAGGATGCGTCAAACTGTAGACGTGTGCTTCCAGTGTTAAGAGAATTTGTATTGAAATGTTTTTCCTTTTCGTTTCTTCCTGTTAGTATGCACGGTTATCGGATGACGAAGAATTCCTTTCTTTTTCCGTTATTAAAATCGCCCATGAAACCTTTTAATGCTTCACTGTTCTCGCCTTTCTTCCAACATGAATCGATCAACAATCTTCTGCATAGATTCTCGCAATTCGTCTGGCCCACTGCCGGTGCCGCTGGTCGTTGTAATCACTTGCTCAGTTCTCGTTATTCTGAAATAGAATGGATTTCTCCGCTGTGTAATGTTGTCAGGATGATATAATTAAAAATGAGGAGAATTTGGTGTAGACGTTGTTGTCGCTATTTTTTGTGTCTTTTTTTTTTAAATCACCAGGCAGAAATTTGTGTGATATTTTGCATACGGATATTCGTTTTCGGGTGTTTCGAAAAATTGCCTCGGGAAGAGCTACTTAACCCTTTCGCTGCGACAGATTTCAAGAATCTCTGGCTTCGGTGTTTTAAAATTTGGAAAAAATTTGAAAATTTAAATTCAAAATTAAAAAATCAAGACGGAAGTACGCAAAGAACGAGAGCCAAGGCTTGAATTAAATCAAAAATATTCGAAACGCCTGTAAGGCGCAACCAGCAGTGAAAGGGTTAATTCGTACAATGATAAATACTGTCACTGCATTTTTCTTTTACAAAACTATTAACATTTCTTAAAATTAAATACGGATTTTAAGGTATCACAGTGTCCCTAAATTACACTTCAACAAGAAGATATTACAATTAAACACTTAACAATATTTCAACTGAAACAATAATCTTCATTCAAATATCTTCTCTAATCTTGATTAAAAATTTTCCAAATTTGACTAACAATTTTTCACTCCCTTTCTCCTCTTACGTTTAATAAGAATGTTCGAATTTGCTTCAAGTTTAGCGCATTCTTATAAATCTCAGTACGTTAAAAAATTCACGAAAATTGACAACAGTTCAACAAAAGAAAATTTGCCACAAAATGTTGTACGCATTTATAAATACCTTTCCTGAGTTTCAGGGTCCACTTCCGTCGTTGTCGTTTCCATGTAGGATGGCTCGCTATGTTGCAAAAAGTCAGATTCTGTGTAACAAATGAGAATTGATCAAAAGACATGCTCCTGAGTTTAGGACACGAGTTCTTACTATTTTAGCGGTTCACATAGATACAAGTACCAATCGTATATCTCTCAATGTTTACATCATGCCCAAAACAAGGGGTAATACTAGACACATATAAAAAAAGTAACAACATCGCTATACATTTGACGATACATAATAATATACATATATGTATATGTATATATGCATTTTCGCTCAAATCAGCCAACTATGCAACCGCTTTTCTTACACTTCTCGCGTAATATTATTAAATGGACGATTACGTTATAATATTAAATATCATTGCGTGTTTTTATTCGATGGTCGTGTTTAACGATGTTCAATTTCATAACGTCCGCGACAGGAAGTGAATAGTATAACCATTGAAATTGTATTACGAACGAATATAATATTCGACTCCCTATGCTTGATTATGAAAAGTTTCTGTTTTACGCATGCGATGTATGTAATTATATTGAAATAATCCTAATTGTTAATTCTCCATCCTCGAATTCTTCCATTTTTTGTCATGTGTCAATTCAAATAACTATGCACTAATAGCAGCGCTTGAGAGTCCATATTGATTAACTGGTAATCAAATATGTTATGTAAAATTACTGAGGCACGTCTAAAATACTTCTCACAAGAAAGATTTCGAATCCCTTGGACCCGGCGATGTTAATGAAAATCTTTATGCTCTGAAAGTAACGGGAAAGAAGATAACTTTGTCTTACTTATCTCGTGTGGCACGTATAATTTAACCGTTGAAATATTCGACCTCTTTCTATTGCAATTTCTGGCAAAGAATTTTTTTTCCGAAAAGTTTCAACAAGTGCAGCAAGTAGTTTGTACAAATTTTTCGCATCTATTTCACCACAGCGATATCACGACGAACAATGCAATTACTTCGATTCGATTACTTTCGAATTCTATCGACTCTCATTAATGAAGCAAAGTCAAAAGGAAACCTCTCTTGTAAGCAGGACTGTGCTGCACTTAGCGAGCTCGTGTGAAGCGCTGATAAAAGCTACTGAATAATAAAGCGTTTAGCAGTTAGTCATAAGATATATAAGTACTCAAACTTCTCGATACACAACAGAAGAGTATTCAACTACGGTGAAAACTGAAAGGGGGGGTTTCTTCGGTGGAAAAAAAGTAAGAACGTTTTATTCAAAAAAAGAAAAAAAAAAGAAGAAAAAAGAAGGAAATCTTCTAAGTATCACATAGTAAATAACTAAGATCGAGCCTATAGAGAGCCTCGATCAAACAATGCTACCCTACGTACAAAGAGGATTTACTAATTTGTGAATCGTCACGAAACAAGGTATAAAAAATACTACTAAATATACACGCTATGTCGAACAAATTTTCTCAGACGAAAAACGATATTAATTACACGTTCATCCATACTGTCAAACTTCGCTAATAACGTTTTGGTTTTTTTGTTTTCTGGTTTTTGTATCAATCGAAGAATCAATCACAAGTATAGTTTCGAAGTTTAACGTAACTATAAAGTAGAAATAAATATTTGCAATATTACACATATCTCGACAGTTCGAGCTTTTTAATCATTGTAGAAACAGTTTCGTACTTACAATTTTCGACCGAGGAAAACGCTCTCTGGTTTTGACCGTAGCTCTTTGAAACACCCTGCATATAGTGGCAACAAGTTTAAAGGGGCGCGTACTAACTACGTCAGTTAGTGTTGTTAGACGAACGGTCAAGTATTATTGCAAGTATTACTGCGGTTTTGATAGTATTAGGCTTTCCTCGGGGGAAAAAGAGAGAGAGAGAGAGAGAAAGAGAGGCAATTTTGTGCATTTTTACAGGCTTGCGTTTCTCCCGGCACTTTTCTTCCGAACAAAGATTAATCATTTCTAGAGAAAATTTTCCCACTTTTTGGTATATTTGTCAAAAGTATAGTTATTGTAAACACTTACTGCAGTATTTAAACGTTTTCTTGCAAACACAATTTAGATATTTCATTGAATGAAAAGACTTCGTGCTATCATAATGCAAATTAAAGTCAAAGAAGTATTTATATCGGATTACTTGGAATTTATGAATATTTTAGAAATTGTTATTTTAATATTAGAAAACAATTTTATTTTTAACCCTTTCGTGACAGAATTACTTTTTCAAGAATTTCTCGTTTATCTCGTGATGGATACTAAATTGAGATCAAATTTTGTGAAAACTCAAGTGTTACAGTTGGTGGAAGAGGGAATGATTTTGGGCCGCATACAAAATTTCCTTAATTTTTTCATATTTTTCATTGTAGCGCAATCGAGTCACGAAAAATATCGCCAAAAATCACATAACGATGTTAAAAGTTTGCGATCTCTGTTGGACACGCCTAATGTGATTTCCGACCTCACCGTATCTCTTCCACGAAGCATACATACTCGTTTCACTGATCACGAAACGGTTAATCTAGTTACCAATTCACAAATACAGAAATACAAAGGAAGAGCATTTATTTCACACGTTAATTTATCTCTGACGTTAATTGCATCAAATACTTATTAAAAGGTTGAACAACACGAACAAAAAAAAAAAATACGGATCGGGAGAAAAGTTCAGGATTACCTCAAGTGCTATGTAAACTTGCCGCAGAACCACATTCGATGTGCATTTCGGCGAACGAACACGATCAGAGTTGCGATCGTTCGACCGTTTTTTTTTTTTTTTGTTTTTTTTTAGCGAATTACAAATGTTTGCAATTCTAAACACAGAAATAGGTCGGAGCGTTTCCAGTTTCGCAAAAGGTAAGGGGAAAATTCTAACTCTAAGATTCTGCATTCTGCATGGACAAGAAGCTGGTATAAAGGTATCGATCTGTACGAAATGTACCTTTTCGAAGCGGTGGAATGTTTCTTTATAGGAGCTCAATCTGTCGAGCCGTATATATAGTATATATTTGATTTATTCATTTATTCTTTTTTCTTTCTTTCTTGTATGGTGTATAATGGGTTCGTGTTCACACGCACGTGTACATAGATAAAGGCTACTTACATGACGATTCGCCTAACAATCCTAACGTGACTAAAAAACACGATTTGTTGGTCCCTCTACACTTTAGCTTTATCTTGAGTTGCTTATTATCAGAAGAGCTAGAAAGGGTAAAGTAGTGAGAACTATAAAGGACGACGCATGAAAATTAAAGTGAGATTTCGAGCTCTATTATTATGTCGGTTTTCTTGGATACGTGCACCAGGCGTAAAGAAGAGAGAACGCTATTATGTGGGGGAGAAGAAGAGAAATTATTGCCGTGTAAAAGAAACGCTGCAGGAGACAAAAAACTTAAAAGACTGGTCTCTGTAAATGCAACAAAAGTCATGCGAGGTGTCAATTGTATTTCAAAAAAAAAAAAAAAAAAAATAAACACATGCAACATATTCGATACGTCGGTATAAAAAATGTTCCATCGAACATGTCAGAAAAAGAAAGCTTGCATACGAATCCTTTGTATATTTCCACTTTCTCCTTTACGTGTCTCTGTTAAATTACGCTTATACGGCGCTAGATTTCGTTCATTCCGCCCCTCGAATAACTGTACTTACGTGAAAAAACCCAAATTTCTCGTTTCACGGTTACATGCTTCAGATATTAATAACTAAATCAACGCAATAGGAAATTAGTTTTAAAATGGTTGCAGTTATTATTAGACTAAATTTTCTCTAGAATTAGTACCACTAAATTGTGTACCCATATTTTTGTTTCGTTGTTGCTTTCAACGTAGTATTGAAAGCGTTGATTAGATCTAAATCATATCATATCGTATACAATTTCTCTGGGACTGTGCATACTTAATAAAAATATGTTTGTTGTTATATAATATTGTGTCTAGAAAAGTATAACTGAAGTGTTCCTTAAAGTGGTAAACCTGTATATAAATATCGAGAATATATGAATTGTAACTTCGATTATGGATCAATTTTATACTTGAGTTTAGGCACACACGCGTAATTTCATGTGTGATATTTAAAAAGAAAGTATTATCAAATTTTAATATTACATTCTACTAACTGCAGGGTTAAAAAAAGATTACACAACCACAAAAATAAACGAAATTTATAAAATAAACACTGTATCGAAATTTCAGAAATCTATTTGTATTTTATTTTTCAGTTTTAGATTCTAATTTTCGTTTCGTTCTATTCATTTGTCGATATAAAAATCTTACATCGGCAAATAGTTATAAAACAAAGCTATAAACTTTCTATGTTGAAATTAAAATTGTTAAGAATTAACGAAGACCCGAACGCAATTTCGTCGCTGCTGATATTCGACTTAGAATGCCTTCAGAAATCAGTCCTCCATTTTGGTACCAAAGATAGCCGAATACCCTGTATAATCACTACGAAAACACTAAAATTAACGCATTTCGTGCCACAAGACAATTACAAATTTCACCAGAGTATTGAAAACGAAGACAAAAAATCACATTCAAATATTTCATTACAGAAAAACTGAATTCTCGACACTCTGATCTTCGTTTGCACGGATTTCGACTCTTTCCTCGTTTAATAAAAATTCAATTTCCAAAAACTTTTACCACCGGTGGCACGAAAAGTGTTAAACAGTACTCGAAATTTCATATTTATACAAATTACTCTCACCCCTGCAGTTAGTAGAATAATCTCATAATTTCTCAACGAAAAATTGACGAAACTACAATCTAATAATAAAATGATACTTGTCAAAGAAATAATATCCTCTAAAAGGGAATACCAATTTCTCGAAGTTAGACTTCAAATTAACCGATGGTGTGACTAAAAATTTTGGGCATGGGATATATCTGAAAAGTTGTCTGAAATAAATAAAATGAAGGGTAAATCGTACCCAGTTTGCCTCGGGACATTGTTAGAGAGGGTGTAGATGGCACGTTGGAACGTTCGTGGCTCCAAGGCAAGAAATATTGCTAGTAGGATCACCAACGTAGCGGCAGCTACGCTCATCCAACACGCGCAGCCTGCTCTACCGGAAGTCTTCCTCCTAGGTGTTCCCTCTACTGTACCTCGCCGCGTGCTCGAACAAACTGACTGTACCGAACTGTCTGTTTCTGTCACTTAAACATTACGTTCTCCTATGAATTTTACTATCTCTTTTTTTTTTTTCACAAGATTCAATTCGAATTGAAAAACTCTGCGATCCCACGCCGTGATTAGTATGAAGAAAACAGCGGGCGAAGTATGCGAAGAGAAATATAGCCAGCGATTATCACGCGGAATAACTCGACCGATCGATCGATTTGGTTTTTTTAGCTGATGCTTCTGATTGTTTAAAACACTCTGCGATACAACATGACAAGGGCGTTTAATTGGTTTTAATTTTTTTTTTTTTAAACATCAATGCCCCGAAAAAGCTGAGAAACTTTCGCGTGTATATGCGTTATTCCCTCTTTGTTATTCACGAAATTATTTTATGTCCTCCTTGGGATTAATTGTCGAATCCCCAGGTTAAATTGACCCCAAAATGTGAAGCTTTGCTTGGAAGGAGCGGTACATGTAACTTTTGCCAAGCCGAACAATTTTTAAAAAATTTTTTCTTTTTGGAGGGTAAGAGATTCGCCACTGAAGTGATCTTTTTTTTTTGTTTTTAGTGGGTTGTTACAGATATTTGAGATGTGTGATGTACGATATGGCCAATGTGTTACAAGATCACCAAAATTATGAGATTTGAACGCTTTTGCACAGCAGAAAGAGTTTGCAAATTTTCAACGCGTGACATGACTCAACACACTCAACGGTGTACAATTTTTATACATTGAACGATTTTAGTATGGAGTGGAGCAACACGTGTGCGTGTAATTTTTCACGTATATGTACCCTTATTGCCTCGTGATACTTGTACATGAGAAATGTACATCTGTCAATACGGAATTCGGTGAAAGATATCGCACTGACTGTGAGTTTAGAAAGAAATATCATATTTCGATGCTAATCGAATTTGTGAAACCATTTTCAGAAAGTGATAATTCCCGATTAAAGCGTTTGTGTAGAATTAAAAAAGATACTCAGCTTTCTTAAAATATTTTTTAAATTAGTGACAAAAAGCTTCGAACCCAGTGTTGTATAGTTCTGCATGACTACTTCTAAATAAAATACCTCCAAACATGGTTAAAAATCAGAACGTGGCAATTTTCTTGAGACATAATTGACAATATAGGTATTAATCATTAATTCGAATCGTTGGAGAGGACTATTGCGAAGAAGTTGAAGTCTAAGAAAATTCTTAAAAAATAAAAACCAACACTGAAATTGCAACCAGAATATTAATTTTATTTACATTTAATTTTAATTTCATTATATTTGATAATTTTCAATCGCTGTTGCACAGTTTTCATTCTTTTTTCTCTACTTCTATAAAATATTAAAATATGATATTTCTTTTCAGGTATGCGTAATTTTGTAAATGTAGGCTACATAATATGTTTGACCGTGAATGAACATCAATGTAAAAAGTATGCTAGTCCCAGAAGCACCTGATCGCAACTTTTTTCCGTTCAACCAAAACCAATGATAAGGGCATAAAAAAAAAAGAAAAAAAAAAGGGAGAAAACTCCTTTTCGAACGAAGCACATTGAATCGATCACCAACAACCCTATGGTATAATATTCGCCCACGATAAATCCACGAAGAATCAAAAACCACACAGGTATGCAGATTTACGACTGCACTTCACAAGCTTTGTTTTTCCTTGCGAATGGTTACATGACTTTTATATACGGTCAATATCCTTCCACCTTGTGCAAATATACCTCTAGTTATAATTGTTATGCAAGCTTAAGACCATGCAACATTGTGTACACGAAAAAATATATATATATATTAAATTAGCCACTGACGTAACGTTTCCGCTTGTTACCAAGAAAACCAGATTACTCAATTTGCTTTTCCTTGGTTAAAAATCAACTTCCAACATCTGTCTATGTCCTTACTTAATCGTAAATTGTATTCATCGTTTACAGCTAACAATTAACATTATTCAAATTTATTATTCTATATTCTCGTAGAAATTTCACTATCACTTAAAATCTTCCAAAACTTTATTACACTTTATCCTAACGTAGTTAACTTTTAACCCTTTCATTGCTGTCAGCGCCTATACGCACACTTATCTCCTCTACACACTTTCACTTTAATTAAACAAAAGAAATTTTCCAAAACGATACACGGGGCTGAAACGAAAGATTTTCCACGGTTGAACGTCCCACTGTTCCGCCGTACGCGCGTTACGCACGAAAAAAATCTGCCGCAGTGAAAGGGTTATCAATTTAACACTTGTTTCCTCGATTCCATGAATTCCAGCCATTCTTATCAACAGCGACAATCTAATCAAAGAAAATCGTACAAGCGTCGTATACGTTTTACAATGGCGTGAATATGTCAGTAAACGGGGCTTTACACTCTAACACCGGAGGGGTGGTGGTGCGTGTGTGTGCGTGGGGGCGGGTGTTTTGGAATAGAAAAACAAATCGGTGCGAATGCATGCAGAAGAGACGAAAAAAGCGTACCACGATAAAAGCGTACAAAGAAAACCAAAACCAAAAAAAAAAGAAGACCGCGTAAACAATTCACGTTCTCGGATCTGATTTATGTCTCTCGGGTAACTTGGTTAGCGGGATATGTACATTGCTTACTTAGAAGGTTAGCTGTGAGTGCGGTACCTTGGTCGTCCTCCAACGGGGACAGCTCCGCACCTTCGTGCAGTGCTACATCAGACCCGCTGGAACTGCCCAACGTACGCCTCTTGCTTGGAGATCTTCTCCTCGGTTGTGGTGAACCGTCGGTATCTGTGTCGCTGTTCAAATCATGCCGTGAGCTACCGTTCTTAGCATAAATGTCACCGTTACCGGAACCCGGCGACGTGTCTTGGGAGAGCTGGCTTTCCCATTGCTCAGCTTTATCATCGTTAAGGAACAAACGGTCTGACAAACTGCCATGCGCCCACGGCTCAGATACCTCGCTAGTGCTCTTTGTTATCTTTAGCTGCTGTTCGACATCTTGCAGCTGTTTTACAAACGGTATCGGTATGTCACCGTAGTCACCGCTGCTCATCACCGTTCGCACGATACGCTCTGTTTGATCCGTGTCGAACGATTCCGTCGTCATGCACCGTACAGTCGTCACAGTTTTCATCGTCATCGTCTCTCTACCTATCACCTCGTCCGTCACGTTTCTCTGTATCTTCGATATCGTCATACGGGTCCCATCGTCGGTACCCATCGGCAAACTTTCCGTGAAGTTCTCCACTTTCGTGACGAACGTATCCGCCGATCTAGCTAGATCCTCTCCGCTATCCTCTTTCGTCGTTATCGTTACAGTCTCTACTCTCTCTACGATCTCGTTCATTCTACCAAGCCTGTCGAGCACGTCGGAATCGAGCGAACCGGCAGGTGTGTCTATTACAGTTGTCATCGTGCGTATCTCACTGGACACATCTTCAGACTTCATCGTGTCGCTTTTCTCTTTAACCTCGTCCGCTGCTTCTTCTTTCTTGCGACACGATTTTTCCGATAACTCCTCCAGCATTTTGTCCGTGTATTTCGCACTCGTGTGTGTGGTAAACGAATCTGTCGTTACTTTTGTCTGGTCGTTATCCGACTTCGTTAGTATGTGTATATCGGATTCGACGTTCGTCGATATTTTGCTCATCATCATCTTTTCGTTCTCCATAGATTTCTTCACCTTCACCGGTATTTTGCTCTTCGAACAGCTCTTTTCCGGCGAATACTCATCGTGAAACAGCTTCGATTGTTCTTTCGTTTTGTGTTTAGGACTGTACGGCGTGCACGAGGTATCTCCCAAGTCTAGATGAAAGTCTGTTTTGATGGACGACCTGGTAGAGTGTCGCGGGGCGGGAACAGGTTGCTTTGTTGGAGCAGAAGTAGCATGCCTCTCTACAGTCCCATCAATCTCAGCCGAATCATGCCCTGACCCATCCAAAAGGACATGGACAAGAACAGGAACAAGGACATAAAGCACATTGATACACACTAAGAATTTCAACTCTAGCCCAGCTGCGACAGTTGGACTGAAAGATTCAGCGTGTCTGTCTCACATACTGTCTTGTGTGTACGCGCATACACACGAAACTCGTGTGTGCTCACACACGCATGCATATTATCGCATGATATGCCTGTGTGTGTGTGTGTGCAGCACACATCTACATTTAGTTTTTAGTTAGTATCAATACTGCAACAGGATTAGTTTGTTTATAAAAAAAACACTCATTAAATGGTGTCTAGTCGTGGCGCCTGAATCTTACTAAAATGTACCCTGCAACAACAGCTACGTTTGTACATAACCGCAACGTTATCGGAACATTGAGAAAGAAAAGAGGTGAAGAAACTTTTCTTACAAATTTTTTTTTTTTTTTTTGCAAAAAGTTCAATTTCAAA